AGCAATTGGTCTCGAAAATATTTTGGTAAAATGTCATGGTACTTGCATGCGCGGAAGAATGCTCCATGATAAAGACGGCAATTTGAAAGAAGTTCTTTATGACAGCGTTAAAGGAAATGTGTGTCTTTACTATTTCGAATTATCTTCTGTACATATACGTATAATTTTGTTTATCTTTTGAATGTTTACATGAGTTAATTTTTTATTATGCAGTGTATTTACTCCATTAATAGACGATATCTCAACGTGGTTTTATTAGACGGTATGTTCCTTTTTTTATTGTTCGACATAAATCAAAATCATTTATTTTAACTAAATGCTGAACATGTGAGTTTATTATTAGTAATGTTCATTTAAAGTGGAAAGGTTTAAAGGGGTCGATTCTGAATATAGATAAAAAAAGAAATAAAGTAGATATGAGATAAAATATGAATTCCATTTTAAAACAAACTCTATTTGAGAATATGTTTTCTCTACTCTAAACTTATGTGACTTTTAATAATTATATAACCAATGTTGAGATAAATAATTTATGTGACAATATAATTAAAAAAAGATACTCTTTAATTTTTTTAAACTGATTTTTTAAAAAGTTAAGCTCCTCACATATTTGATCAAAACTTGGGCAAAAAATCAATTTGTTGTCATAATTTATTTAAAATAAATATCATATTAATCATATCATAAACACAAGTGAAGGGATACGAGATTGAATGCCGGATGATGTAGTTAAAAAAAGCTTTATTCCTACGTGATATTCGATGACGTTGTCGTGTGCGAAGCCGCAAAAATTCACACGTATTATCTTACTCGCAGTACCCACTTTCTATTAACGTAGATTTAAGTCGCGATATCAGATTACTAATCGAACATAAAATCTAATTTGAAATCTATATAAATCTTGTTTTGTTGTGATTATATTTAATTAATTAGCTGCGGAAAAATATCCGCAAGTACAACTCAATTTCAACAGAAAGCTCGTAGAAGCCGATTTGGAGAAAGGAAAAATAAAGTTCTTAAAGTGAGTGAGTGAATAATATTGTTATCGGAAATTAGTATTATATTTTGTCCTATTATATTTAATTAGTTTCTTATCTTTAGTACTAATACGGGAGCAACGGAAGACGCGGAAGCTGATTTGATAATTGGTGCCGATGGCGCGCATTCGACAGTACGAAAAATTATGGCTAGGAGGCCGCTCTTTAATTGCGCTCAAACATATATCGAACATGGATACGTGGAACTATCTGTGCCGTGTAAAGAACACAATAAAGTGAGTAAAATGAATAGTTCTCGTCCAAAATCGGGATAATTTTAGCCTAAATTTTCATTAGATAGCACGCATGTCCAAAATCAAAACATAAGAAAATCTTAAAAACATCTTTCGTGGTCCAGGTAGAAAAATTCAATATGATAAGCTATATATATGGGGTATTTTATATTCCTTTACTTTATCATAAATATATGAGTTTAATAACGACTGTGTGGCAACATCATAACTCCATTTAATACGAAACGGCAACTTGCACGCAGTATTTTTTAAAAAGTTATAGAAATTTACTTACTAAAATATATTATACTCTATTTAATTTACAGAAAGTCAAAGACGGTTTAAGACTTACATCCTAATGTTGGACATGTGTGTTACTACACATTTTTTTAAATTTAAACCGAAATTATTCCAACTGGGTCAAAATTACTAGAGATTATGATATAAAAGAAGCATCGTCGCATTTTTAATTAATCTTTTACATTGTGTCATATGGATTTAAAAAATATTATTAAAGAAAGAACTTTTAAGTTTTAAACAAATAATATAACAAATGGCGAGGCTAATGAGAATCAGATAACGACGCGTAAGTATACAAATATATGTACATTTAAATTTTAAATTATTATATTAAATATGAGAACGTTTTGGCTCCATCATCGTTAAGATAAAATGATTAAACTTCATTTTTATTTGCACATGTTAACTTTCCGTCACAATCGATTACTAGTGATCTTTCATCTTATATAGCCGTCCTAAAAGTGACTGTACAGATTCAACTTTTATAATTGTGTGAACAAAACTACAATGATTCATCAAATGCAGCTGACAATTGAAATCCAATTACAAATAAGTAGTCGCTAGTAATGTATAATAAAATTCGTAACAACATTCGTAACAAGTAGAGCCAATCATTAATAGTTTGTAATTAAATTATAACATAACAAAAATTGCAACTAAACAGTATTATTAGAGTTAATATCATTTCTATATCTTACATAAAATAACTATGAGATACACAGCGTCTCAAGAACTCTCTTCTCCAAATCACACATCATTTAATCTGCTGTAATAGGTGATAACAATGAGTTCATGTCCTAAAATTATAATTTACACATTGTACTGTTAAAAGAAAAATATGTAGAGTTAAGAATTATTTTTAGTGCTGTAATAGATTCATCTTTCGGGATAATATCTTTTTCTGAAATAAAATTTCATCTTCTTATAACACTATCATCAGCTGAGTCACTGAGAAAGTGAGTGAATAAAAATATTCGTAAAAAGAGAGATAACATCAAGAGAAATAAAAATATAATTGTCATTAATAAAAAAATCTTTAAGTTTGTCAATTAAATGAAAGCTATTGTAAATTGATTGCATTAATTTTATTTTACATACAGATTGATTAGTTCAAATGAATTGTATGTTTGATAACGACTTAAATATATATTTGTATTCATGCATTCTTAACTGCGTCTGATTCTTATTAGCCCTGTCATATGGATTTATTTAAACTTTTCATTATCTTTGAAGTTTGCGATGAGCGGTAACAATCTTCATATTTGGCCGCGTGGTGAATTTATGATGACCAGTCTTCCGAATGAGGATTACACATTTACTGGCAATTTGTTTGCTCCGTTTTGTGTATTTGAAAAACTGAAGACGCGCGAGGCATTGTTGAGCTTTTATATTGAGCATTTTCCGGATCTTCTGCGATTGATTGGTGAGGAGAAACTAGTGGAGCAGTTTTTCGAAAAAGAACCGCAAACTTTAATATCAATTAAGGTTAATTTTAATTTTATTATATTCTACGATCGCTCGATTTGTTAGATTTTAGTATGATTTAACTTCTTGCATCTTACAGTGTAAACCTTATCATGTTGGGAAAACTACTGTTATAGTTGGAGATGCCGCTCACGCCATGGTGCCTTTCTACGCTCAAGGAATGAATACTGTAAGTTACTTTATCGAATTGAAGACTAAATTACTTCGCGACACTTGCAAAGAAAAAAAAATAGAATATATTACTCATCCCAACAAAGTTTATTAAAAGCTACCGCCTTTTTACTTTAAAAGTGATAATATTAATAACTCAAAAACTATTTTTTAAGATAATAGAAAATTATGGATTAATTAAATAAAATCTGCGAATAAAATATATTCTTAACATAAATATTATTTTTATCATTTCTGTTTCACACACACTCTTTAAAAAGATGATTTTTTTTTAGTTTTAACGATTTCTTTAAACCACTTTTTTTTAATCGTAATGATTTTTGAAAATTATTGAGTAATTATGTTTCTACAAAGTTCAGTTAGTTTATTTTTAATGATTAATAGTTGGATAATGTTTATTTAATTAAACATTATTATTCATGGTAATAAATAAAAATTTGCGTTTTTTTTAGTTATATCACTTTCGAAGTAAGGAAGCGATGTGTTACCATCTCCAACAGCACAAAAATTGCAGCAATATTACACATTGCTATTGGAGAAGTAATAAAATTTGCTTTTATGATCATTTCCATTTTATTACATTAGGGTTTCGAAGATATTCTAATGCTCGATGAATTAATGGAACGCTATGACTCAAACTTCGCAAAAATTCTACCAAAATTTTCGGAATTACGATGCGACAATGGACACGCAATATGTGATCTCGCAATGTATAATTATACAGAGGTACACATTAATCAAATTTATCTACTATCATTTTCAGATATTCATGTATTTATCGATGCAAAATTAATTTTTAAATTGTATCTTTCAGATGAGAGATTTAGTGACAAAAAAATCGTTTCTTTTTCGAAAGTTCTTAGACAAAGTTTTATTTACTCTTGTTCCCAATTTCTGGATACCGCTTTATTTCGCCGTGCAGTTTACTCGCATGAGTTTTCGTGAATGCATAGCGCACAAAGAGTGGCAGGATAAGGTATGGGTAAGATATAACAAGCGATAAAATGCATGCAGTTACAAAAATTATCTCTTATATTACAGGTATTGAGAATGGGTCTTTTTTATCTCGCATTTCTGATTTTTGCTGTCTTGGCTATTCCTTTTTTACGAAATGGAATGTGATTTTAATCGTTGCCAAATATTACCAATACATTGTGATTTTATGATACGGATAACGCAATTAATAACTAATTTTTATAAGAAGTATTTCTACGTATTTAATTATCTCATATAAATTTTTATAGTTTTATATACAATAATGGCACTTACTAATGACTAAAATTTATTCAATTTATATATAATTTAAATTCAATTAATACAATTCTAATAATTCAATTAATAGCATGTATATTTTTTATCATCAAATGAAACACAAAAAGATTCTTATTATTATTTATACAATAAACTTATTGCATACTTGAGTAAAAATCATACACAACTTAGTTTTTAAATACACATTACAAAAATTTGACTTAAATTTCATTTAAAAATAACATTAACTTTAATAATAACCTAAAATAAATAATGTTTCTGACGAACATATTTTATGTGTATGTAATATAAAAACCGCAGCAATGACACGTAATTAAATTCTATTCAATATACTTTTCTGCGACTTTATAAGTTCCAACTTTACTTTCAATCTAATTATTAAAAATGTGTTTGTAAGTATAAATTTTACATGAAATTAATAATATAATAGTGAACAATTAAAATCTCGTAATTGTACATAGAATCTTTTCAAATTTTTCCATATCTCTAAATAGTTCTGTCTTTAACAATTTTTATAATTGAAGTTTGAAAACAGCACAAATTTTCATTTTACATTATATCGTATATGCATTCGAATAAGTGTTATAGTTCAAGAGTAACATTCTCTGCATTTTTTATGTAATTATACTTTTGCGTTTCGAAGAGTTCAACTAAACTTTTCATAAATTTTTCATGATATTCATTGATTTGCTCAGTCGTGGGTTCATCTATTTTCGGTAGTTCAATAGGACTGCCAACTATAATAAAGAGAAATATAAAAAAATTATATACATATTTTAATATAAAATTAGTAACATGAGATAATTAGCAATTTAGTGTGCGCATTGATATTTGCTTTGCACCAATGGGTAATACCGAATATACAAAAAGAGAACTGTACCGACTACGGTGACAGGTAATCGCTTCGGAATAAGACCAAATGAATACTGAAAGAATCCTCTGCCCGAAAAAACGACGGGTGCTAGTCCAATAAGATTGCGAATATAGTTCTGTATGCGTCTGAGAGTCGATCCTTCTGGGCTATATATTTGATTGTATAAATCCGTTTCACCAAAAGAGAAGACAGGAACCAACGCCGTACTGAATCAAAGAGTTATATTAGATTCAAATCATGTTGAATATTATTATTATGCATAATTATATAATATTATACTATAGTACTTTATATTTTCCTACATTTTCATCTATGATTTAATTTTATTTAAAGTATATAGATATTATTAGAGAGATATAAAAGATAGTATTTTTTACTTTGGAGAAAAATATTAAGTAAAAAACTATTTTTTTTTTACTTAATATATTTTTCTCCAAAGTAACTGTAAATAATTTTTGCAAATTTGATTAAATTACATAAAATTTATGGAAAAACATATAGTTATTTCAATATAATGATTTAAACGACAGGTATCTGATATTTAAAAATCAAATAAGTGATGTTATTTATACAGATAATACCTTATAAGCATATAGATACTGTTTTATTGCATATTGATTATAATTGTATTCTATATTTTAATTATTTTGAGACAACATCTGAATATAATATTTATTCAAGAGTAATTAAAGATTCGATAAACGTTGTTTTACTAATTTAAATTTAAAATATGTATAATTACAGTGTATGAAAAAAACAGTGTTAATTAATCTAGTAAAGTATTATTTGTACTAATAACAATATAAAATATTTACTTCTAAAATTGAAGTACAGTATGAAATATCATTCAAATAATAGTGAAAGGTAAAGTACATTTATATAGTCCGACATTATACTATATTAATTATTATACTATATATTTTAACTTTTGTAACTATTTCACGGAAATCTTACAGATAAGTGCAAAAACTAAATTCTGGAACAATAATACAGCGTCGAAATTATGAAATGCTAAAAACAAAATATCCGAATAAAAAAACCGAGTTAAAGCCGAAGGAAAAAAACCATTATTTTCCGAATTTTTTATTCTAAAATTCCAGGATTTTTTCGTCGTTTATCTCTCTCTCTCTCTCTCTCTCTCTCTCTCTCTCTCTCTCTTCCTTCTTTAAGATAACAGTTTTTTCTTGAATTAAAATTAAGTCATAGAAAATTACTGACTAATCATTATAATATCGGAAAAAAGTAATACATTTTTTTATTTCATAACTTTTAAAAAACCGTCCTTTTTGAGTTGTGACAATTTTTTATAAAATTAAGTTAGTTCACTTTTAATGATGGATAGAGTATGTTTATTTAACTTATTCATGATATTAACTCTTGAAAATTAATTAAAGTTTTTAAGTCACTTTCAAAGTAAAAAAGCGATAAATTTAATATATTAATATAAAGTATAGATAACTTACCCGTATTTTAGTGCTAGTTTCACAAATCCTTTTCTTCTTTTTATGATGACACGGTAAGTGCCCGGCATTGATTCTAGCGATTCAGAAGCACCACCGACAATAAGAACTGTAGCTCTCCCGGTATATGGATTTTTTGGTGGTGTCGATAATAAGTACTTAATACTTCTCACGCTAGAAGCGCAACAACCTAAAAGTGTTTAATAATTTATCATTATAATCAAATTATATAAAGAATATAACTTTCTAAGTGGTTATCAGTAATTAAAAAAAATATGTGTGTATACATATACATATTCATATATATATACATACATACATACATACGTGCGCGCGCGCGCGCGCGTGTGTGTGTGTGTGTGTGTGTGTAATTTTCATCCATTTTAAAGCAGACATATATGCAAACAATATGATAACAATACATTACATTTTTTATATAAAAAAATTATTTGACGTAATCTTCTCTATAAATAAGAATTAACGAAGTAATGTAATAAGATGTAATGATTCAATGGCTACGTATAGCAAAAAAAGTAACTTTGCTATTTTTATAAAATTTTTTAATATGATTAATATATATATTTACCTAATGAGAGGATTAAAAGCAAAATTAATCATATTAAAGAATTTTACAATTGCATTATGTATTAAATGCAACCAATATATGTATAAATGTATTTATTATATATACAT